CTCGTTTCTTCAGATTTTTGGTATTATAAAAGATGAGCCTCCAGTTATTGGTAAACTTAACTTTATTTTCATATAAAGATCTTGGTATTGGGAAATTTGATGGGACCTGTAATTGTAATCCATATGATGACTGATTACTTGAAAAGCTGACAACAGTGTAACTTGTTATTGGTATTAAATTTAAAAAGGCAGAATGATGAGGGATGTTGAGAGAATGCCTTAGAAAGTGTCCGTTAAGGTAGCATTAACAAGTAGTTGCATACCAACTTAATTTTTGAAAAATGTTACCTGTGAATACTTGTATGCCAAGTGTGTGGAAAACATCAAGTCAGGGCTGTGGAGGGGAGGAAATGTAATTTTTAATAAGAGTTTTGAAATCATTTAAATGCCTGTTGTTTAGTTATGTGTATATTGGATGAAAAGAAAGATATTTGTGACCTTAGTTATGATAAGGCCAGTTCTTATTGACAACCCTTTATGTAGTTAGCCATGAGCTTTCAGTTACGTGTTGTATTTTTAGAGATAAGATAAATGTAGTACTTACTGGATGGAGTGAGAGAACAATGTGGAACAAAACTCAAAATTATAAAAAACAAACAAACAAACAAAAAACCAGGTTTGCTGGTCTGATAGAGCCTGTGAAACCCCTGAGACTCTGGCCCCTAGCTGCCCTTCAGGTCTGGAATTGAACTCACTCCCGTGGCTTCCGGCCAAATAAAAGACCGGCATATGGTCTGAACATTTACATCAGGTAGATACATTCCTTGGAGAGATCAATCAAGGGAGAACAGAACGGCAGTGTATGCACAGGGAGACAGCTAGGGGGGTGGGCAGGAGTGCATGGGGCGGGGAAGACACAGGAAAGAGGTGACTATGGGGAGGAAGTGGGAAGAGAGCTGATACGTTGTGGGAAATTGCAGTCAATGTCATGAGACAAAATGTGTATGAATTGCTGTACGGAAAATGAATTTGTTCTGTAAACTTTCACCCAAGTTACAATGCAAATTAAAAAAAAACGATATAGTACTTAAAGGAATACTTCTATATAGATAAAACCCACTGCCATTGAATCGATTCTGACTCAGCAACCCTCATTGGGCTTCCAAGGTGGTAAAGCTTTATGGAAGTAGATTGCCTCATCTTCCTTCCATGGAGTGGCTGGTGGGTTTGAACCACCAACCTTCAGGTTAGCAGTCAAATGCCTTAGCACTGTGCCACCAGAGCTCCTTTATATAGATAATATGTGTGTGAAATATGTTTTACAGAAGAAATTGCACATATTTATGTACCCATTTAGTTGTTGAAGTCTCAATTTATGGATTGGATGAAAAGATATAGGTAATACTTGAAGTGCTTTCCCCCAGACTTTGAAGATTCATTTGGACGTTGACACAAGCTGTTCAAATGGTTTAAACCAGTAAAAAGTGATATATAGGTCTTCCTTTAAGAATGTTAAATATAATAGGGCAGTAAAAAGAGTACTCAAGCAGGATCTTTCTGTTTCTGTATCCTGATATTTAACCTCCATTTCATCATCTGTAAAATGGGAGTAAAGGTAGCATAATGCTAAAAAGCTTGCAGGTATTCTGGAGGAGGTAACACGGTTATAGTAGCGATTCTTAAAAGACATACAAAAGCTCTTTAGGGTCCTCATTAATTAAAAATGTATATATTTTTTTCTTGTTGTTGAGAATATACAGAGTAGAACATACACATATACCAGTTCAACAATTTCTACATGAACAATTCAGTGACATTGATTACATTTTCGAGGTGTACAAATGTTCTCACCCTCCTTTGCCAAGTTGCTCCATCCCCATTAACATAAAATTACTTTCCCCTAAGTTTCCTATCTAATCTT